TGGACTTGTAATCAGTCTAACTTAATATCATAGAAGTGATCAGAAATTCTGTATAAAGTAGTGTATTTCTTGCAACTTTCTATGATAATAAACTTGCACAGTCTATCATTTCCCAGTGATAAAACCCAGAAATTTGTAATGTAAGATGTGAAATAACTATCGCGCAAGATGTTATTTCTAATCATTAATTATTTAATTTATAGATATCGAAGAGTATCTTCGAATTTACATTAAAATCCAGATGTAAATTTTTGAAGTGGTGATTTAAATAGACATATCGCGAATTATGTTTATTGTTTTAACAAATTAAACATCTAAAAATACGTCCCGAAAACTCAATTCTGATCTCGCTTTACAGTTGTACGCCGGAAAACCATTTACGAATATCACCGTGTCAACTTCAATCGGCAGGATATAATGAACTGTACGGTCATTTACCTGAAAGCATTACCTACATGCCTCAATTCCGACAACTGCATGGATTGTCTGACAAAGGTGCCTGACTTCGATTGTAAGTGGTGCTCGGAACTGAATAAATGCAGCACCGGCACGTCCCGACAGCGACAAGAGTGGTTATCAAAGGGTTGCGACGTTCATAATATCAAGGAGATAAACAATTGTCCAGCGCAAATTACAACCTACAGAGGTGATCAATATGATCATGATGGTCACGTGCATCCAGAAGAGATCGCCACCAATGAGATGGGCGTAAAAAAAGAATGGTCTGGCAATACTTTGGAAAGTCCTAGTAAGTACTTTTGTTTATCATTTTTGGTATTAGAGTCATTAATCGAATTTGACAAACTTATACATGTAGACTCGTACGTGATACAAGCTTCAAATTTCATACAGAAAATGCAATTTGTTAATGTAATTTTAAAATAGGCTAAAATTAATTCACATAATTTCCAATATTTTAATCGCGGAAGTTTAATCGTTAATCGAAACAATTGATTCGCGGAATCGAAACAAACGAATTTTGTATTATTTGCACTAATAATTTCTCTTTTCTCTTGAAATCCAAGATAATTAGATTTGCAATCATATTAAGCAATTTATTTTGTATATTTTTTAGATTCGAACAAGGTGAATATGGGCGTTTCAGGAATAATTGGTATTCTCACAGTTATCGCTTTAGTGGTAGGTCTCGCGGGTTGGGGTGTATACGCTTATCGTAACCCTCACAGCGCATCGGGACAAATGCTAATAAGGGTAAGAAGAGTCTTTTTAAATTATAACATAAAATATTATAATAGCATTATGTAAATGAATAATTATCGATTTTTCTCTCTGCTTTTAATTCTTTTTCACTATCATTGATTGCATTTATATTATTAATTAAAATATTATTTATTGCTTATTGCCTTTTATTGATTTTTTATTGTTACTTATTAAAAATTAAATATTGATTATTTATTTATCTAATTTTATATGTATA